TCTCAATTGCTTTAATAATAATATGAAAATATGAAAAAAAAATTAAAAATGAATTAAAGACTTGATTTTAACATTATTGACTAAGCCATCATTATTTAGCATACATTTATTCCTATTTATAATAAAATAAGTTGAAAAACTCTCTATCACTAGTGCTTATCCAAAAAAATAGATAACAATTATCAAATAACAAATTAACAACTTTGTATTTATCATTTGGTTTAAATTTGACAATGTTCTCTCTTCAAGATTTTTTGATCTCCTTATCCCTTATTTGATCCACATCATTTCTGTTACCAAATTGTACGACGTATTTAACAGATGTCTATCAGCTGCCATAATTGTGAACGAAACCAAGCAAAACAAGAGCCCAAAAATCCTAATCCCCAAAGCAGCTTTTTTTACCATGTTTTCCCTCTTGGATCTACTCAATACAGAAAGCGTCGGCCTAGGCCTCCGCCGCCCACTTCCACCTCCACCGCCAGTTTCGCCGCTAGTTTCTGGGCCACCCAGATCAGTCTTGGCCACTATTGCCATAGGCTCTGCTACAACAGACCAGTTCACAATAGCCGGATGATTCTCCAACGAGTTCTTTGGAGGACAGTGGATGGACGGCAGCTTTATCTTCTCTTAGGGAAGACCCATGAGTAAGTGTGGTTCAATCAGAAGAAACTGATGACTAGGGATGGACATGAGTTGTATTGAGTCGATTTTTGCCCCAACCCAAATCAAACACAACCCAACATCATCGGTTTAATCAAAATTTAACCCAACCCAACCCAACCCGTGTAAAAGTTGAAACCCAATCCAATCAAGTATCGGTCGGGTTGGGTTGGTCGGTTTGTAACAACTTGTCAAAAAAATTAAAGTTATCAAATTGTCTATTATACTAAATTNGACAACTTGTAAATAAAAATTAAATTTATCCAATAGTCTATTATACTAAATTCGAATGGACTAGATTAAATAATAAGTAAATAAATAAAATTATTTGTTATCTTATTCAATTCTCATTAGCCGAGCTTACAAAGAATAAAGCGCATTTAACATAACATGAAAAAGTTATACTATATTTCTTGTGGGAATGAGAGTAAACTCCTCCTCTAAAATACACCAAACAAATTAGAATTACACTATCCATTTATACTTCTTAGATTCCTTTTACTTTTTAGGCATTTTATTTCTTTTTTAAGTATGTCGGTTGGGTTGGGTTGGGTTGGGTTGCGCTGGTTTATTCGGTTTTCATGAGTTAATCCCAAACCCGACCCGACCCGATCCGACCCAACCCGTTTACATAGTCAACCCACCCAACACATGTAAAAACAACAAAAAAATCAACACAAACCGATCGGGTTGGTTCGGGTTGGGCAGTTTTGACCTACTGATGATCGGTTCGGTAAGAGTGATATGTGTTCTCCA